AACAACACAAATACACAGGTAAATATTTACAGTAACTTTATAACTATCCTTTTGTCTTTTAAAAGCTAGAAGCTTAGTAGATTCTGTCATGTCGGTCATTGTTAAAACTGTCTTTGTTTTGATGCTACTTTTCGACATGGGAAAAGTGTGTCGGACAAAAGTATTCACCAAAAAAATAGATATTTCTTTGCCAGCTTCAGCAATGACAGAGGATTAAGTTTTGAGGATAAAACAAAGGATTATGTTGACATAAATACCGGAGGTAAAGTAAATTCATGACACGAGGTCACACAACTCGGGTAATATTCACGGTGAAAATTTGCATATTTGAGCAGTCGAACGAGAAAAGTCATTTCTCGGAGCCCAGTGCACCGACCACTGGACTACTGGTGCAGTTGACCATGCATGTTAAAAGTAGCAACTTGTACGGTCCGTCGTATGGTCGTCAGTCCAAATTTTTTCGGCTTGATGGGTTACTACTACCATTTTGTATAATTATGGGGCTACGCTCTGCGAGCTCCGCTATTAATTGGGAAAAAATTATTACGTACTTGTCTTATTGGTGACTGTCGTTTTATTTAGTTTAGTTTTCGCGTCTTCGTGACTTTTGTTACCTTTGTTGAGTCGTCACATATTGTGTGCAAGACTTTTTCTGACCCGATAAAGTATTGACAGAAGAGTGTTAGAGTGCCCAATACCCATTGTTATAACGCAACCTAGACATAACGTGCGCTCTGATTAGTCAAAAATCTACTGTAAATCTCCCTGTAAAATCAAAGAAAGCTGGAACATCATGCCTTTTTCGTAATCCAAGTGTTAACGCGGTTCTATTAGGATATAAACCATAATATGCGATAGCACCCACACACTCGAATGTCTGCTTTGATGGTTGGGTTCCGTGCGTTCCCCTGACGACAATATCGAGAAAGACACCAAACTTACAGCCCCTCCAGCTGGGTATTGTAACTGAAAATCCCTGATGGTAAGTTCTTCAACTGGTTGTTGTTCAACAGCCTATCAAAAATAAGTAAATGTATTTTCAATTGAATGGTATACGACAACAAAGTTCAGAGAATAAGAGTCCTCTAAAAAAGTTGTTTTATCTTCTCTCATGCTTTGACAGAAAGGCCCAAAATACTAATGCTATTACTAGGTAATTATTCCCATATGGGGTTGTCACAACGAAATAAAGACAACGTTTGTGATATAACACTCTGCACGTCTCGTTCCACTGTCGACCTTAGCTTTAAGGAAAAATAAAAGAATTTTGATAGTTTTCAGAATTTGTGAGTGGTATGTACTGACACAGTAGAAAACGCTGAAGGAGCGCTCTGATTAGCTTGTCAAACTCCGAATATTCTCAGTTTTTCACAGCAGGGAGACTTGTGCCCGAAGGCATTGTAATCGTATAAACCAAAACAACTACTCGCATTAGTATCATTGGTAAATATTATCAGCAGCTTGGTAAATATCTAGCACCACCTTCTTCCAATTCGCTGAATAGTTGTTAGCTATCAAGAATTTTTTAAAGAGGACGGACTTAAACTCGAACAAGTGGTACACCAAACAACTTGTTACGATGTAATTGTTATTTCTTTTCATTATTTTGTTAATTTTTTTTTTTGGAATTAAAGCGCATACAAAACATCCCGCATGGTATCACGGAATTTCTGAGCACAACAATCCTGAGTCAACGTAAACCGAACACTAGATAAGAGATTTATAAATCTCTTCGAGATCGCTTAGAAGTTCCTCATCAACATATAATAGTTCGGAATGTATGGGTTTTCTCGACTTTAAGTCATTTAATTATTTGGGAACCGTGACCGGCAGTCGACCACACAGCCAAAAAGATCCTAATGCTAGGGCTGGTCATTTTATGGAGAAAAATTAAGAAAATTGTACCGACAAACTACGTGTATTTTCCTTTAGATACTTCTGAGAATCTTATCTACATGACGACGAAAAAAAACCCTTCGAATGCAAATGTACGCTCAAGATTTATGGCAATTCCGTTTGCTGTCCGCGATTTCAACGTTTACTTGATAGTTTTTGCCAAGTTTATGCAATCTAAACACTTCATCTAAACACGGAGGGTGGCTGGGAGAATTCGATAAAGTTATGCAAACCTTATTAGGCGCAGTTGAGGGTTTGCATAACTTTAGAAAGTATGCAAACACAAAAAGAAATTCTTGCCGATTTATGTCCCTTGTTTATTTTCTGTAACAAACTTATCCCAGATTTGAAATGAAGCACGAGCAGACGACATTCCCTTCTCTAGGACGAGTGGACGAGCTTCCTTCTTCAAGCATTGGAGACCCGGGCCTTGAGTCATGAACAAGGTGACATAAAACATGCACACATTTGTGTGTCAAACGAAGCGATGCTTTCTTTTTGAACAAGCGTTATTGTAGAACAAACGATTAAGGGATTTTTTTGTAGTTCAAAGCAATGAAAACAACTAAATGCTTTAAATTTCATTTCTACCCTCTCCCTTTCCACCAAATGTCCGCCGCAAGTTTTCTTTAATAAGGCATGTAGCGATCAAACTGTCCATGAACCAGTGCATTTCTTAACATTCATCATAATTTAAGTAATGGCAAGGCTTTATCAAAATGAGGAACAAGATAAAGTCTTGTTTTCTGAAAAAAACTTGAAATTACAGTGGGAAGTTAATTTAAAGTGGGAAAAAAGTTAGGGATACGAAGACAAGTAATGGCACGTGATTTTAAAACAGAATATAGTTGTGTGTGCGTGCGTGTGTGTGTGTGTGTGTGTGTGTGTGTGTGTGTGTGTGTGTGTGTGTGTGTGTGTTGGGGGGGAGGGGGGCCTGTCAAAGAGTACATCTCACGCACCCCTCACTCCCCCCCCCTCAATTGTTCAGAAGCCAGAACAATTCTCTCTCCTAACTATTTTTGATTGGAGCTGATAAATTGTTGCCCTGAGCAGCTACTATTCCCACAAGTGCGAAAGGCATTAGACGCGTTCTTTACACATGAACAAAGGTTCCAAACTTACAGCCACTCTAACCGGGTATAGTTACTGAAAATGCCTGATGGTAATTGGTTCAACTGGTTGTTGTTCAATAGCCTATCAAAAATAAGTTAATGCAGTGTAACTTGTGTGGCATTCGACAACAAAGTTCAAGGTAATAGTATACTCGAAAAAAAAATTTTTTCTCTTCTCGTGATCTTATACAAGAACCTCAAATATACACGTTATCAGACATATGTCGTTCAAGAACTGATGTCATCGTTTAGGCTTGATATGTGAAGGCCCCAGAGAAGATAAAAAGCTTTAATCTGAGACAATACTAATTGAGACCTCCTAATGGTGAAAGTGTCAAAATCTTGTGAGCTTCGAAAAACGATGTTGTAACTGAGTCTTTTTGTCTTTCTTTGCTACATGAAATATTCAGGAAAGATTGATTTGTTAGAAATATCACTTTTCCATGCTCTTTCCCACACTCTTTACCACGTGGAACAAAGGGTAAAAGTACAATTTCAATTTTTTTTCCTTTCAGGTCCTATTTTCAACTACAAGTTCTTAGTGTTCTTAGCTGCGAAAATCTCTTAAATTCGTTTCTTCACTGCAGTGCAAATATATGAATTTCTTATATCTAAAATCATTAAAACTCAGCTCTGTACGTCTAACCTGATCTGTTTTGAACTGTTGCATGGTAACCATACATGCTTTGCGAGATGAATTATTGTGTATTTTTCCAGGAAATTGCTTTCTTTTAAAGATGCATCATGCGCCATTCCTCTGTTCTTTTGGAAACTTATCATCGAAAAACTTGTGAATGGCGATATTAACCAGTGTTGTTGACATGGTAAACGGACTATTCAAGAAAGGAGGGTCTGAGGGAAACCCATCCCAGCATTTCTTTCTTTGCATTGTGTTTTCTCTGATAATGTATGTAACGAACAACAAATCTCCCCCTCCCTATTGATCAAGCTTTATTGTTTGTTTGCTTGTTTTTTTTTTGAGAAAAACTGGTAAGGATGGTCAATTTGGAAAGAAAACTATCATTAATGTAAAAATGAAAATTGTGTTGCAGAATGTCCCCAAACAGCAGCCCATAGTCTAAAAAACCAGACCAAGAATGAAATTCAGCCACCCGGGGAAAGAAATATTTATAAAAAAAAGTGTTTTGTCGGCTTCGCCCTCTGAGACTGTAGAAAGTAGGCAAAACGTGAACGATGCTTTCTGTAGTGGAACTCCCGCACTTCAAAGGTGTCCAGATATTTGGCAGAAGTTCTATAGAATACATTTTGATAAATTTGGCGAAAACTATTCGGCTCTGGCGCTGTAGAGTATCGAAAAATTATCAATATCTACGTAGTTACAAAGCGGGGCCGAAACTCACATGCAAAGTTTTATAGTATAAGCCTCCGCTGATTTAGGTTATAAATGAGCGGTGGTAACTTACAGCGCCTTCAGCTTGGTATAGCTACTGAAAATGCCCTTTGGTAACCTTTTTAGCTTGTTTTGGCCCAAGTCCCTATCAAAATATCGTTGCATTATAAAAATATTAAAAATATGTGTAAAGAAAAATAATAATCATACAAATAAAAACTTTTGAGCAAGCCCTGCTGTATCGCCATTTATCTAACTTTTCTTTGACATCTGCAACCATTCTGAAGCCTTCTAGAGGTTGGAAACCTTGTTTTGGACACCTTGTTTTGTTTATCAATCAACTTAAGGGTTTAGAAATTCGTCATTCTTTGAAAAAACTAACTTTTTTCAAGATGTTATAATGTCTTGCCTTTTTAGATCCCGGCCTCCAGTTCATTGAGCTGAAGGTATGCCAAACGGAAAGCCTTGCAGCTGGTTGTTTACTGAACTCCACATCAAGAAATTTTTACGACCATGTTTAACATGAACAGGCTATAATGCTGATAAAGTATGCTTTTATTCATCAGGACCTAGTTGTTCGAAGGCCAATAAGCGCTAACTCAAGGTTACATTTTAATCTGGGTTTCTTTTTATTCCTTTATTCAAAAGCCTTTTTTGAGATAATTTTCTATGTCGCTTTCAGAGCATCCAATTATTACATTCTAGACGAAAATAATTCTACCAAATTCCCTGTTAAGATATCGCTGACCTTTTAAAGTGAAATGTACACATTATAGATTTTTTTTTATCTCAGCTTACAGCCAACTCAGGTGAGTATTGTTGCTGAAAATGTCTTGTGGCAAGTCGTTCAGCTGGTTGTTACTCAAGTTCCTGTTAGGAAAAATTCATTCAACTGTGTTAAATACATACGGTTTTCAAAACTCATGACAGATACTTTTATCAAGAGACTCTAAACCGCTTTTATTTCTTTCCAAAGTCTTTGTTTCTCCTTCGCACGATATTTTCGCTTCCAGCGCCTATTGTTTAAATGTATTGTGTAGATCAAGTTATCAAATCATTGAGGCTGAAAAAATGGGAGACTCAACTGTGGTTAAGTAGACAATTTTCCAGCTAAATACGTATACGATTACATAGATTATGAACCAATGATCTTAAATCATCTATTGTTCGAAATAACTTGGCGGTAAACGACATAAAGCAGAACGCCGTAACTTGAAAATGCAACAAGGCTTTGTTGCATATTTCAACATTAATAATAACAAAATAACAGTTTAAGAAAAGCGGCATTCAGTAGTAAACTCTTCCAGATGTACGCACTGAACAGTTTTACTCTAAGTCGTCCGTTGTACATCAGAAATGGATAAATTGCACCATTGTTCCAGTCATTTCTCGGTGGGATGCTATTCATAAAGTCAGACCTACTTTTTCACAGTTACGTTTGACTTGTACGGCTATATTTAAGCAGTCATATAACACCAAAGATAGTTCTGAATATAACTAAAAAAAAAGTTATAAAATGTATTGGTACATATCTACGCTTTTTGAAGTTCTCATCATTTGCTTTATATTTTCAGTTTCTAAAGTGCCAAGTAGTTCGAGCATAAACAGAAAGCATATTGCGCTGTTATTGTTCACATTCTACAAAATATTTCGTCTTGCGATTCCACGTTGCCTCGACGAAATCACGAAGTACTGCCTTATTGTTTAGCTTTGTTCTTGTTTTGTGACCCTGCTGGCATGGACATTGTATAACATATCACAGTTAAGATACTTTTTAGTGTAGCCACGAGGTTACAGGTTTGAGTTTACAAGGTAAATATTTCTTTCGATATGGCTCGAGAGACTCGGGAAATAGTAGTTCGGGCGAGGAATGACCCCCGAAGGAAACCTACGTTCAAAAAATTAAAGGCAAAGGCTGGCGTAAGATTGATTTAAAGGTCGCTCTTACTCAGTTAAGATGAAGAATAACGTTTATTTCCCTTGTCATCTGCAGCTTAGGCTGCAACTTACATAGCACCTCAACAGTTGATCTCTCATTAATACTCACAATGTTACTGTGGGGAGAGGAATTTTCCACGGAAACGACATCAATTCTTTTCCTTCACAGTTCACACGCAGCAGGTTGTATGTTCCCTTAAAAGTGTGGCACTCACAAGGGCCTGGGCACTCTGAATATTAGACAGTAAGTATATTTCATACGGTTAAATCGCTAAAAAATGTTAAAATGTCGTCACTGAGTTTGCATTGCAAAGGAAAAACCAACTTATTTTATAGTATCGAGAAAAAAATAGGAAAGTAGCTTTAGAAAGATTACAACGGAATGCACGAGATACGCCTTTAAATTTAAAATCTTTGTCAACTTTTGAGTATCTACTTTGAACTAATTAATTATTGGATGGTTAAGAATATATGAAAGTCATATATTTGAACTGCGGATAAAGACATGAATGAAAGTGATCCTCGCAGTGATGTGCACTACTTAGGCAGTAGTGAAAATCCGCAGTTCAAATATATGACTTTCATATATTCTTAACCGTCTATTCATCACTTCACGGGTTTATTTAGAACCACCATCATAACCAGCCCCCAGTTGGCTTGTTAGTTCAGTTGGTAGAGCGCTGCACCGGTATCGCAGAGGTCATGGGTTCAAATCCCGTACAGGCCTGAATTTTTTTTTTCAGGCCTTATTTTCACTACTGCCTAAGTAGTGCACATCACTGCGAGGATCACTTTCATTCATAAATAATTATTATTGTCAACATTTAGGGAAGTCAGAATTTAAGCTAAAACAAAAAAAAAATTTGTTAAACTATAGCAGTGGGGAGAATTTCTTTCTGAGAGGCCGAACAGCGCTAAATAATTAGAATAACAAAAAAATAGGTCTCAGTTCCATACGAGCGATAAGATTAATGTTTCTATTGCGCGAATTAAAAGGTGGATGCGATAAAATGCTGCTTACAAACGATATGACAAAATGAATCAAGAAAAATTAGTTAAACAAAGCTGAAAACTAAAATTACCAAAACTGATCAAAACAAATGAACTCTTAAACTCTCATGAATGACTAAGAGAGAATTTCTCCCCCCAATATCCATACGATTTCAAGCAGACAAGTGATGAGAATAAAGAAAAATATCAATTAGGGGATTATCATCCAGTAACAAATTCTCAGATCTAAGATCATAAGAATTGTACCGCAGTCAGTAAGGAGAATTACTATTGAGATCTTGGGAGTTAAAGAGTTAATTGACGCAAACATCGTAAATAAACATCGTGCAAAAGTCCTTACTGGTCGGAGGCAGACCATTTGGCAATTTACAAGGCGGGGAAAACCGAAAAAAAAATCCAGTGAGTAGCAGGGTGGATAGCTTGAACCCAGACTACTGATTACAATCTTCGCACCATAACCACTAGCCAAACTTGCCTTTTTCCACACAAAGATTGTCATACTGATATATCCAATCAAAGAAAGCCTAATCTAAATGTAGAACTGTCGAACATATTGATAATCTATCGCAGTTTAGAAGAACGGGACAAATTACGGGAGCGACTACATCGAGGGCGGCGAGCCTTGGAGGAGAGATACTGAGAAATAAAACAAGATACTAAGGGCCTATTTACACGGTACGACTTTGTCGCATGCGACAAGCTTACGACAGGCTTACGACACGAATTGTTTCGTGTAAATCATACCTACAACTCGCTTACGACTCTTAAGTCATGTCGTAGGCCTGTCGTAAGCTTGTCGCATGCGACAAAGTCGTGCCGTGTAAAGAGGCCTTAAGAAATTAACCAAATAGTACAAATGTAGGCACTTCAATTGAAAAAAGTTATATAGTTCCATTACAATGGTGTAAGAAATAAAACTCACTTTCAATGTTGAGGCTGATTTCCCTCTTTGATATTTCTTTATCTCTTCGTACCTCACAGCTGTAATTCACATTCTTTTCTTCCGGTACAAGCTGATATCTTACACTGGTACTATTTTCAACGACAACACCATTTTTTCTCCACACAATGTATGGAGCTGGCGCACCTTCCACCGGGCACCACAGGTGGGAGGTTCTGTTCAAAATTACAGTCTGTGTCTTGGGTACTTGCGTCATGGTGGGTGTGGCTACATTTGGCGATTGGTAAAAAACGAGAAAAAAAAAACAAAAAAAACCCATTTTTTTATCATACAGAACAAGCAAACCGCAGGCATAATATGTGAAGTAAATACATTGTGTATGGACAACCATTTTTTACTCCAAATTCGCAGAGAACTTCCGTCGGTCTCTTTCTTTGTTTGTTTCTCTTTGTCTCTATCCGTGGCTGTTCGTCTGTCTGTTTGTATATCAGATAAAAAGCTACTTAAAAAGGGAATAAATACTGTTACATGAGCAATAAAACGTAATAGTTATGTAGGCCAACGTTATGTGTCCGAATGTAATTTATTATCTCATGAAATTACAGTTGAATTGAAAGATTTTAACCAAGTGCCTTAATAGTGCTTAACTTAGCAAGAAATATCATACCTGTTTGATTGAAGGATTTTCTCGAATAGTGTGCACTCAAATTATACAATCTCTGAGGGAAAAATCTTAACCACAGGTATCGCCCACTGGATCGCACTACAGCAGTTTTGTAATCTCCACAGAATACACCAAGAACGTTGGCTGCCTGATTATTGCCATCACGGATCTCAAGATACTCATCCCATAGACAAGGAGCTTTGTAATAGCTACGCATGGTAAAGTTTAGTTCCACGTAGTATCCTTTTCGAACTGAGAGAACATGTGATTCCGAAAATGAAGGAACACTCTTCCATCCTTTTGCTTGCTGAGGATATTTGAACAAAACTACAACAAATGGAACAAGTCAATTACTTGGTTTACACACACACAAAAGAAATTACAGATATGATAGATGAATGCTTAGTGGTATATGCCGAAAGAAAGAAAAAGTCTGCATTATATCTCCATGACAAGGGCCGCCATATTAGACCTAAGTTGATCTCTGTCTTACAAGCATCGCTCGTCCCCTAATCAGATATCAGATCACTGGGCTTTAAAACATCTATCACACGACTGCAATAAGTTGTCATTTAGAGCTCCAGTTCAACGGGCCTCAGGTAGCTCTTACAAAACTGAGTATTCCATTCCAACCAACAACTCACTAACGCTTTACATTTGCAGTTAGTTTCATTGAGAGAAGTGTTTCAGAGGATAAAGGGAAGTAGTTTATTAATTAATTAGAGGAATTATCTATTGACGTCATCTTATTCTAGAGCTTTAATTTGAAATTTGATCGTAGAAAAGCATACACTACATCGTGCCTGCCTAAAAGGAGTTTGATATTTCACGCAGATGTGAGAAGTTGTCACCCCTCATGTTTATTACTTTACAATTAAACACTGGCGCATATTGCAGTTCAAGAAAACTTGACATAACAATTTCCAACAGACCCCCATTCCCACTTCGTAGTTTTTCTCGTCGCTCTATTCATCCATTCAACCTCGCACTCTCCTCCCTTCCTCTCCTCTTTTCCTCCCTTTCCTCGCTCTTTCTCAGGCCTCCCCAAGCATCCTACCCTTCCTCCCCTGCCACATTACCCAGAGACTCCCATTCCCTCCCATTTATCAACAAATGCAAATGTTCATCATTTTAGCAAACACATTCGACAACAGTTGTGAACAACTGAAGGGCTTACAGAAAAGGAGGATGAAACTCCACTTAGCCATTGGGGGTAGCATCATGACGTATTTCAGTTTGTTTCCTGCAGGAGAAAAGTTGACGTGTTTCACTTTGTTTCTTTCATTTTTTAATCAAAAGAGATAGTAAATTGAATCTTTCGAAGCAGCTCGATGTTTTATACACAAGCTTCTGGAGTAAAACTCTTGAGGTTTTAATGATTTTGTCTCCATCGGCTAAAGAACAAACGTATCCTTCGAAGTGAAACAGAAAAAAACCTTAAAGAATTTCTAAGCACTTGCTGGAAAATTGAATTTTAAAAAGATAGTCATTGTTTAAATCTGCTGAAAATTAAGATGTTTTTTGCCATTGTTTATCTACAGTACTTTTCATCACCTGCATTATGCAGCTAAAAGGAAAAACTCCTTTTTGTCCCAAAACATTCCCCTTCCGTATTAAGAATAATAAAAAGGAGATTGTGTTGGTTGCCTTGTTACTCACGAAAAAAAAATTACGTCAAAACTAATAAATACAGTCACCCAGCAACCAATGGACTCTTTGTCTACTGTTCAGTCATGCACAGCTAAGATTTACGTACTCTAAAAATGGCAACGTATGTTAAGATCTGGTAAAAGTAAAGACGTGACTCTATCGTCTTTTCTGATAACTACTCTTCATACCTCGTAGGACATTTGAATACTGCGATAAAAATTTTGGTTTATTGATACGTTGATATATATATTTTTAACATTTTTGTGCGTGTTACTTCCAAGAGGAAAAAAAAAACAGAGAAAAAATTATTCGGATCATTTAACAGTGTATTTTTAGTATTGCTGCCATGGATTGTGCACATATCCTGATGTATCAAAAATGGACAATTTCATACCCAACCCAGCTATGCATTATCTTAGTAAACTTGAAGGCATCGGTTTTTAGACAATAATTTGCATTTCATAACAACTAACCTTCTAAGTAATGGCAAAAGAAATTATGTTTATTTTCCTTTTAATCTAAAAGAGAAGAGAGCGTTTTGCCTCGAAATTGCCAACTAAAATTGGACTTTCGAATCAAGAACAAACAATCTCATATTTGGCACAGTTAGAGGTTAAGTCAGTAAGAAATATTCGTTTTATGTTATTGTTGTTGTTGTCCGTAAAGAAAGGAGTATAATTGGTAACTAATTTTGATGATTTTGGTATTATTTTCAACAACGTTTTGTTGATTCTTTGACTCTTCATGTACAATGTTCTAGAGTACTCTAAAATATTCCAGAATATTCCATTTCGCACTTTCTAATGTTTAGTCATGTTATACTGTTTTATGAATAGAATATGATGTAATTATTTAGAATGTTCTATACTGTTCTAGACTGCTAAAGCATATGTTTGCGCGAGTTTTCTCTATTATAGACTGACTGACATTTATTTCTCCTGAATTCTATAAGTTGTGCGTGTTTAGAATGAACGCTTCATCTTCAAAATTCACATTGACAATACGAATTTCTAATTCTCTGGTCGATTAAACGTGTCATCAGGGACCAAGATTAAAAAAAAATCCTTCCCTTTCAAATGCCTTTTTGAGCGATGAACAATGCGATAAATCGCGTTTTTCCCACTACCCTCTTCCCTGAGAAGGCGTCGGTATTGTTGAGAGAATTAATAATTTATTGTTTGGAAGTAAACAGTTATAAACTAGAAGAGTTATTTCTACACCTGAAGTTATCGAAACTCTAGTATTTATTACGTCTTTCTAAAGAGCAATGTGGACGAAGTATATTTTTCTTTTTTCTATTTTTTTTCCTTTTAATTTCCTTTTAATTTCATTGATGCTGAGGAAAGAAATGCTAATGTCGACAAAAAAAAAGGAAAGAAAATGAAATATTAGTAATTTTTAGAACCCGCATCATTCACAGGCTGACTGCTTCTTGTCTCCGACTCAATTTTATTTGACTTTCAAATTTTTGGTTTTGCAAACTAGTCACCAATTTTTCCTCTTTTTTTGTTGTTGTGTTTAAATGTAAAACAACAATTCAAAGTGGACGCTCCCATGCAGATTTTTCAACTCTAAAGTCCGATGATCTTACCACTAAATCTTGATGTGTTTCTCTAAGCATTTGGATATTTTAACGAGTTGATTGTTCTTGATTCTCGTCAGCAGTTTACGCAACATTGTAGTAATGTTTATAGAGAAAAATTAAAATTTGATCAATTTTACCGAAGCGCTGTTTCCTTTGTTTTTAAACCATTAAGAGAGGTCATTGTAGAGTTTATTTTTCGGTGATTTCAAAGAACCTAAAGAAACTAGGCGGATCGAATAACAGACTGTACACTCCAGAGATAAATAGTGAAGAATGAATATTCGGTTAGAGTACAAAACAAACACGTTTTCATCAACAAAATCGACAACTGTTCCGGAAATGAAGTTATTTTGCGATACACAGAAAAAATGCTCACCGTCTTTAAATTAACAATTTTGCCGCACGAAGGATAAAATAATTAAGTACCTAAGTATTGATTGCCCCTTACACTTTAAGAGCCTGATCGCATTTATCCACACAAGCAGCAAAGAATAAATACACAGAAAAGTGAAGGTTTTTACAGCTGCTGTTAATCGTTGTTTTAAATAAATTCAAAGTTAAGACGAGAATTATATTCGCTTAATTCGTTAGAGTCACACGTACAACAAAAATAAAAATAAAAAATTAGTCTAGGTCTAAAGGAAGGGCTGATTATTGAAAACTAACTGGACAACTAATAGAATGCTGCAGCAAAATGAAGACTTTCTGACCCAAATTTGATCCCTGATCATATTAAAAGATAACTATCGTTAGGCAACTGACGATTTCACTAGTTCGCACAAATATTCAACTAATAAATACAGATGATGCCATCATTGACGCACAAATTTTTAGATCAGAAATTTCTGTTTCGTCGTGTACATAAAAGATGCTTAATTTTTAATTTTCTTTGAAACCGGATCTCAAAAAATATATGATGTTGTCCTACGGTCGAAAATATTTTTCCTACATCAGTTAAATACCCTCTGCTAGTAAACAAAGTTGAAACAAAGGTGGATGTAGTTATATTAATTATCATTTCCGTTTTCATCATCACTTACTACTCTTATGTTGTTATCTGCATCGTACCGAGTATAAATACATTAAAAAACTGCCCCATTAGCTGAAAAACGTAACCTGTGTTGTTTTGTAGGAATTTTTCTAGCCAGCTGGAACAATTTATAAAAAATAAAAGGGGAACAGATTTCCACTATCAAACCTTTGCATTAATTTCCGCGCATTAATTTATCCCTTGCCGACGTGACATGCCTGTCACACGGGGAAAATAAGCTTCATCAGCTAACCGAAAAAACATAAGGACCATCTGAGCGGACAACATTACAAAATCTATGACATTAGAAGGTAGCAATATAATGTCTC